GAGAAAAATAAATGTAATAAATGACAGAGCAATTCCTCGTTTATAAAAGAAAATCGCGCGGCGCATTTGCGTCGCAAAGTTTCGCGAAACTTATTAAATGATACGAAACGTTGCCGTCCGTCTTCCGACAATATTCTCACTTTGCTCTCTTTCTTGTATCGAGAGGAGGCGACGCGGGCTCTATTTTCTGCGTGCACGCTAATCGATCTCGCGCACATCTCGCGCGAGGACAAAATCCTGGTACGCGTGCGGGCAAATTGTGTTCTGATCGCACGCCGGAAAATAAGATATCTGTTCTGCGTGCATACAAAGGGAACGGCGCTTTCTATGCATGGAAAAATGGACAGAATCTTATTTCCATTTCCCGGCGCACCTATCCGCGTCGCGGAGTATCCACGAGGGATTCGCCCGGGACACGAACTCGCGCGCAAGTTTTTCAATTCGCATGCGATCTTAATCAGCGCCATATGTGTACCGACAATTTTTCTATCACTTTAGAAACAGGACAGAGCGGCGGGGCTGTTTCGGTCAGTTAAAGGGAAATTCGGGTAAAACGTTTTCAAGACCGAAAGTTAAAAAACACCCCCGTGACTTGAAAAGCCCCTCTCTGGCTCGACAATTTTTAAGCTGATTTTGTCTTTAGCCAACAATGAGCGAAATAGCCCCGTTCCATCCGAATCCCTTTTAAAGCCCTAAATGACTTTATGATTGACAATTTATTTCGCTCGTGTCTGTCGAGACCACGCTGTATTTTTTCCCCCCCCTGTTTAGCCTTTTTTACGCCTTTCAACCGTTAGGTTATCAGCGTGTTTTCTAAAAATTCTTTCAGACTCACGCGCTTAATCTTGGTTGAACACTGTATTCAGGACTAGGCGCTTAAACCTCCTTGAGGCGGTGAATTTTTGAAATTTCCCGGGGAAAATATGCGGGAAGAAGACCGAGGGCCGGGATCGAACCGGCGGCCCTACCATTACTTATAATCACTCGTGTTAGCACAGAGCTACGCGTCATCTCACCGCGCTGTATTATATGCGTTCCTCTGATCCCCGACGAATAATTAAAGATACGACGAACGAAGGGGCGCTGTTTAATAATTCATGATACTCGCTGAACGAGGTACGGCAAGTATTTTAGAGCAAGCTAATGCTACACGTATACGCCTGGTTCGGTTGGTACAACTCTCGCCCTCATCCGCTTCCCTCTTTCCGTTTGGAAAGACGTGTGCGCGCCTTCCTTTCCGCCCCATCTTCCCTCGGTCCCGCGGCAATGCCCGAATTTTGAACATTAGTTTGCGAACCATTTAGCACAACCACACGACGATCTCGTCTGTGTCTCCCTCTCTCTCTCTCTCTCTCTCTATCTGTGAAAGCAGTTTGAATCACGCAGCCTCTGCATACATCGTACACTCCCTTTCTCTCTCGCTTACATATAGATTTAACCGCAACATTCTCACTACCGACACGGCATAGTCATTGTGCATTAAGCCTGGCAATGCGCGTGGTGTGGGCCCCCCTGTCCCTCCCCCCCCCCCGACGGATACGACAGCTTCACCGGGAGTAATTTCACCAAGAAATTAGACTTTCTTGCAACTCGCGAGATCTGCTTATATCCACTCGGAGCACGCGAGATGCTATGATTTTTTAAAATTTGCTTTGTAGTTTGCGGGGATCTTTGCAAAAGCCCCGCGCAGAAATGATCGGTGTTCACTTTAGAGCGAGTGAACGTAACGTGCGATGTGTCTCTCATCGCGATTCACCGTTCTGTAATTAACAAAGAGTGGCGATTTAACGATGCTTCTTAAATTGTTGCGCGCAGTTTGCAGCGTCGTTGAAGTTCAGTTGCTTCGACTGTACTTAGTCATCTTCAGCGTATATTGTCCCTATAAAGATATGTCGATGATACAATAATTAATTAAAATCGTTAACGCACGGGTAGAGTAAATTATTAAATTGTTACTTGTATTCTGCTGGCGAGGCTCCTTTTCCAAAGTGAAGTCCGATATTCAAATGTGGTACAACATCCCAGATAACATGCTTGTCTAAAAGACATCTTCAAGACTTCTTTAAGACGTCTTTAAGATACCTTTTAGACGTGTATGTCTAAAAGACGTCTAAAAGACGTGTTAAAGACGTCTTAAAGATTTGTTATCTGGGATATTTCACATCGGCAAATGTGAATGGTGTGGTAGCTAATTAGACTTAATTTTGGATTTGGAGCAGAGTGGTCTACGTCGCTCAGATCTTTCTTTCGTAAAACTGACCGAGTCATTTTTTTTTCTTTGTAATGCCCCAGCAAGACCTAATGCCCAAACTAATGCCCAAAAAATGTCTAGTAATGCCCAGCAATGCCGCAAATCTGTACACCACAATGCCCTCGGCGGTTTCCCCCTCGGTTTCGACCCTATTTTTGGGTCCTTGTTAAGTGACACTGTGTGAGTCAACGTCGTCCATAGGACAGAGTCAAGTTATAAAAATACAAGTACATGTGAACACTGTGGATGCTCGAAGATTTAGCTGTCAAACGTGGGGCGGTCCACTCGAGCGTCTTGAATATTTTCTTACGTCCGAGAAATAATATGCGAGCGATTTCAATGATTTCGTCAAAGTATCCTCCGAGAAATCCCGCTAAGTTTGCCGCGCACACAAATCAATTACACCAAGCGCTTCCTTTTCATTATCTTCCGCTTTTTTCCCAAGCCCGTTAAGTCGTTTACAGCGCCTACGTAGCGGTCGTTTTACGCAACACTAAATCTAAATTTGCTTTTCTTAAAGGACGATCACTTTAGAATGCAGCGATAACAGAATTTGCGCCCGGTGAATTTTCCGATAACGAAATGAAGGAAATCTCTGGAGTAACGAGGTAAATGTTTAACTATAAGTCAGGCCGTCCCGCCTCGCGGAATATGCCTGGACACGTGCCACTCGCGGGGGCGCGTGTACGACCGAAATAATATTTAACTTGTCCCGAATTGAAAATAATGGCGTTATCCAATATCAGTCGATCGCACGATAATACGATGACCTAACAGGGTTACACTAACGTCTCTTGAAATATTAGCGAAATCCAGTTGTAGCAGTTACGTGTCGTCTAACTCGCCCTCGACGATAAAAGGGTCAACGAATCCAATTAGGTACGAAGCGCGCGGGATCCCGATTCTCGATGAAGACGAGAGGCGAGCGCCCTGGAAGGGTCCTCCCTGCTGCCGCGGAGAGGCAGCTCGCCTCGGTCGCGGACTCGCGCCCTTCGGAAGGGCGCCCTTCTCGCTATCAGTTATCGCCGCGCCGAGCGGTTCGCGCGCGGTCGCGGGCAATCTCGGGACTCCGTTGCCGAGCTCGAGCCACACGCGTGCTCGATTCGTTGCCGCGTACAATTCCCCGGGCCCTTCCATTCGAGAAGCCGGCGTCCGCGGCTTCCGGAGCTCCCCGCGGTACCCCGTCAAATTAATCTCGAGCCGAAGTTCGGCAGTTTGCCCGGCTGCAAGACCCTCGTTTTCCCTGCCCGTCTCCCGTCCCGCCCTCGATCGCGGTTTCGTCTTGGTGGAACGCGATATTACTTGCGAAAACAAGTAATGACGGAAGAGAGCGGATATTGTCAGATTGGCGCGGAGCGATCCGAGCTTTATGCGTTAAATATTAAGCTATCTGAGATCTCCGTCGAGTTTTCTGCACGGGATCGGAAAGGATCCGTTCGAAGGCGTCGCCGAGCGTTTTGATCGGTAAACGTTATCTCGGAACCGCGTGCGATAAGTTTCCTATAACCAAGTTAATCTAACATATGCAATATTACGAGTTGCGGAGTAGGGTCGACCGAGGCGAATCGAATCACTTTAGTTCAGTTACCGACGCCGAACTGTAAACAATGTGCACGCACTGGCGTTTGTTTTACGAGCGGAGGAAAAAGGACGAAGTAAAGGGGCCGGTTTATGCAAGGCCGTAACTGTTAACTTACGTCGGAATCGGTGAAAATTGCCCAATCGCCGTTAAAAGCGAGGAGAATAGTTGACTGTAGTTGGTTCATTTTTACCGATTCCGGCGTAATGCGTGGTCTACAATGCGAGTCGCAGAGTCGTAGTCGTAAGAATAATCGACTGCGATTGGTCAATTTCGTCAGACACATAAGAATTGACCAATCATAGTCGACTACTCTTACGACTACGACTTCTATGTAGACGACGCTTAAGTTTGCGGTTACGGCCGGATCGGATCGGTGTGTAATAAATATAGTCTCAATCCTGTGATCCGATTCGCCTCGGTTTATCCTGTTATAATTTTTTTAACGACACGTCAGTAAAGTCTGCTATAATCACCGCGAAACAAGTGCGAAAAATGCATTTTATTGCCGCAGCAAAAATTAATGTCCACTAATCATTCTCGTCTTAAATCAAAGCGTCGCTCGCAAATGTCGGAAGATCCTTGTCGCGCTTCCCCGCGCAATTTCGAGAAAATATTTCAATTATTCAAGTACGCGAGTGTTTCCACCGCGACAATCCACCAATTACCGAGCTCGATTATCGACCGAGCACGTTAATCGGTCGCGTCAAACTGATGACTCGATCACTGAGATTTGAATCGTGTGCGCCAGACCTCGACACACGTTCCGAAAGTAGCGACGTACAACCGATCTGATCGAAAGATATTCGCGCGACGACGGAAGACGCAAAAATGATTTAACGTACTTCATCGGCTCCCTAAAATGCCACGTATAAGTGTTCACAGCACCGTTCCTTTATTACGCTCTCCTCCGCGCCGTTTCGAAAATGGCGCCCGCTCTCTCCGTCCAGCCTTCGTCGAGGGGAAACTTGTGCGAGAATAATAAATATGTAGATGGACTTAAAACGACATTACCGAAACTTGGGGCCGTCGGAAATTAAAAAGCGACCGCGCGCTTCCCCCGACAGGTCCCGCAGGAATACGTAATCTCGGTGGAAAGTTGGCGCCAAGTGGGGGAAACGCCGACGGTCGAGAGAGTCTTTGAAAAAGTCGCTCGGCTTGTGGACTTACCGCGGGCACACGCGCGACGAGGTTCAGCAGCGCAGCGGGTCGGCGGCAATGATCCTCGAGGGCATAACTGTTGCTTCCCGCGGGTAGTGCCGGGCGTCGAGTGAAATGGGAATACAACGCTGCCACGCTCGCGCGTGCCGTTCGGCTCCGCTCCGTACCGTACCGGCGGGTAGACGGTGCGCGACTGTGCGCCCGCGAGAGCGCGATCTCCCTTTTATGGGTCGTCGCCCGCGCGTCCACTCAAACGTCGACACTCGCTACTTGACGGCTAACGTCACTCCGATGCCGCGGCGATCTTGCGCGCGTTTTTTAGACTTGTACGACGTACCGTAGATTAACGGGATGTATAAAATTAACGCGCTACTTTAACGTAGAATAGTAATGTAAAAGAATGTAGACACATGTGATATTTAAACGCGAAACATTCTTCAAAGCGCTCGGCAAAAGTGTGCGAGCGTACTTTTTCGGAAGAATTATTTATCGCGAGCGAG